TTTAACTATGTACAGATGGGTAGATGCCGGAAATAAATTGGTGGACGAACATACAAAAATTAGAAATAAATGTATTATTATATTTAATAATTATATTAATTAATATAAAAAAATATTAATATATTATATTTTTATTTAATATCTAACAATTATGTTATTATTTTTTAATTTTTAATGTTATTTTTTGTTTAATACTTTATAAATTGGTTTACAAGGAAGTTACCTACCTACTTAATATTTAATACTCTACAAGAATGTTATTATTTTTAATTTTTTAATGTTATTTACATATTTTAATAATTTTTTAATTGGTTAACAAGAATGATTTTATTTTTTTGTATATGTTAATATACACTCACCAGGTACAAAATATATTGTTTAAATTCAGAAAATGATATATTATTTTTTTAAAATTTAAAATAGTGCCCCAGGTTGGTTTGAGTAAATTATAAAATAGATTTTTCATAAGAAAAACATGAACTTGTTGTCGATATTCGGTACAACATGGAGCAAGCAGAAAAATAAAAAAACACATAGAAGGAATAATGTGTATGGTTTAAATGCAACAGAAATTAATAAATTAAACCTTAACTAAAAAAAAAATGTTACATTGAAAATACCTCTAGAATAATAATTAAACTTAAAGTTATTTATAATAGAATTTCAAAACTGCCCCAAGTTGGCCTGGTTGACGGTACGTTACTTTATTTGTAAACGTGAGCTGGTTAGGCGCCTTTATTTACTGGATTAGTAAAATGGTTATAAAACAAAACACCCACTGTTGTTCATTAGTCATTGTTGGTTACACTGTTATTCAATGTCTTCATTCCGATGGAATAGATTTATTTTTGTATTATTTTGGAAAATGTACAAATAGCACAATAATAACGATTACCTACTTTTCGATGATTATAACCTAAAAATCTAAATCGTATAATTCGCAATGACTGTTTTTTTTTGATTTAACAAGTAACAACTTTTCACTTTTGATTCGTTTGCTTTTTACTTTTAACTTCTTGTTTAAATTAATATCGTTAATAATTTGTATCAACATAACTACGCTTAATCTAGTATTTCCAGTATAATATACTGTATTATAAACTATTTTAAATACGTTATATTTTTTGGTCCATAATTAATCGTTATTTAAAATATTCACTGAAGTGGAAGGTTAATAATTGTTTCATTTTATAAGAGTATAAAGCGCCTAATGATCACCAATATTTTTAAATATCTATATTACTTTGGGTAATATTCATGTTATTTAAATTCGGTTAAATTAATGTAATCCGTTTTTCAATACCCACGCTTTGAAGTAACTAAAAATAATAACCATCGATTTCTTTCAATAAGGTAAGTGCAAATAGTTTTAAAATTATTACTAATAATTTATCCTAAATAAATAGGTTTGTATTTTGAAATATTTTATGCATGAATGTGTAAATATATAGGCTTATAGACTAGTAGGTATATTGCATTAACTCAAAAATGTACCTACCTATCATACCTATTTTAATATCGTAATGGAACAACCTAAATGACCACAATACATTTCCGCATAATTTACATACTTGAGTCTTAAATACACAATCTGTAGTTTATCTATTATTACTTAAGATATAACCACATCAATCTCGCACTTTGATCCAATTGTATCTCTCTTAAAAGTTGCTAGAGACACTATTGTCTATCAAGTTGCACAGAAATTAATTATTATGATTTCTTTGTAAAATAGCTTGGTTAAATGGTTATGATTACCTAGGCAATGGTTTAGAAATTCTCTCTGGCGCAACAGACAAAACGCAATTTACTCGGAATCATTTTTTTTTTTTTTTTTGACTAATCTAAGAGTAAAATTACCCGTTACGAAAATTAAAGAGGATAATATTTTTGAGGGTATGACATGGGTATTGATTTTATATTTTATTGTTATTTGACCTAGTATTTGACTCAAAATAAAATAAGAAAGTTGTACATTAAATTGTTAAATTGTTTTGAAACAATATTTAAACAAATCGATATGTCATACATATATTATTTTCTATCTCAAAAACATAACAAAAATGATTCTGCATAAATGCGTTTTGTCTATGTTGCGGGTGGGCCAGAGAGATAAAACAGTGTGCTGACATTCTCTTAAACTGGATAACATAGGTACTGACTTAATAGAATTTTAAATTAAAATTAAAAACTTATTATGTAATATTAGAATTTTTTTTATATATTTGCCTGTCCTAATACAATTTTCTAATTTCGGTTTTGCCTATGTATATGACTTGAGTACTAACATTTTAGTAAATTTCTACATTATCGTAATCATATAATGTTGATTTTTTTTTATTTAAGTAGGACGTAGGTATTGCAATTTTTGAGAAAAATTTAATTACTAACTCATAATTCCCCTAAATTATATAAGACAATACTTTTGTTATGTGTGTCAATAATTGAAAAGAAGGTAACCATAATTAATAAATGGTTTTTGGTAAATCTAGGGACCTGATTTAATGAACTAGAAGCCCATGTATGATTCACTCTTTCTTTGGGCCCTTTTGACTAAAAAATGAAAAACAGAAATAAATTTAACAAAAATATCTAAGGTAGCTGATTACCAAATACAAGTTAATTCTGTAAATTACAATGATTTGTCAAAGTCGCAATTTTTTTGAATTATTTTTCAAATTCAGCATTAGTGTTTTCAAACATTAATACCTATTGAACATACAAATTATTACCAATTGTAACATAATGATTGATAGCCAGTAATGACAGTCAAGTTTTTCTTGTACTATAGAAAAACCTCAAAAAAAAAAATCTTTTGTTTTTATATGTTTAAGAGCAGGTTTACTACTAAAAATGTGTGCATGGCATTGAAAAGTGTTTTTATTTTATTTTTAAGTATAGAGTAGTAATTGGGCCCTAAAGATTAGGGGGCTGCATACAGTGCCGCAAAAATAGGGTAAGCAAGGTATGCATTGCATTCCCTGGCCAGATTTTATTTTTAAATGGGGGCCCATCGACCAAAGAAAAAAATTAAATAAGTTATTATTCGAAAAAAAAAGAAAATATACCTTTTATAATAGCAATCTATTATTTTAGATAGTTATTATTATTTTGATATTATTCGAAAAACAAAACAATTCAAACAATTCAATAATTCACATTTTTTATTATTGAAAATGATCTTTTGTCCCTTTAGAGTGGAATTTTATATAGTTATAATTTGTTTATATATTTAAGTCTCCCAATACTATCATTACGGCCGAAAGCTAATTTTCCAAGTTAAAACTGTTGTAAAACTTTCTTCGGAATTCAATGTCACAAGAGAGATTAACTGGCATAGGTACTATTAACATTGATAAATCAACTGCAAATGAACTTGATCTTGAAAATTTGATAAATGACTGCAAAGAAAGTCTAGAAAGAAAAACCTTTTTAAAATAAAATCATTGTACATCTACCTAATATTTGTTGATAGTTTATATTTTGTTATTTAAATTATAATGTAATATATTGTGTTAAAATCGAGAAAAATGAACATACCAATTACATTTTGTTTAATAAATTAATTGCTTTTTAATTTACTTAACTACTGAAAACTGATGTATTGTTGAAGATCTGTTTAGAAATATGATGAACATAAGGCTAATACCCGCCTTTGTTGCCTCTGTCTTACAAGTACGTATTATAGCAAATTGTACGCTCAGCAGAACACGTGTAACTTCATTAGTTTATAAATTAGAGCAAATTGACCTCTCATAAAATCTAAAGGTGAGAATATAATATTATCGCGAGTTATGATTATTTTAAAATTAATTGTTTATACATCTTACAATACTCATAACTCACTTTAAAACTAAAATATATTAAAATGCCCATGTGGTTGCCTAGATAATAATCTTACCTTAAGATTTTATAAGAGGTCAATTAGCTCTAATTTTTAAATTAACGGAGCTACATATGTTCTGCTGAGCTTAAAATTTGCTATGTAACGCACTTGTAAGACTGAGACAACACATGCGAGTATCAAGTCCTCTTAATATAACCAACATTACTATAATGCTTGAAAAAATGTTAATATTTGGGGGCCATAAATATTGCCTTGCATTAGAGGTCTACCAAAGGTTAATTGTAGCACTTACTGTTTTTCGTTATATTGGAGTATAAGTATATTAGGCTATAGGGGCGAGGGGCCCCATAAAATGTTTCGCATCAGGGCCCCACAAAACCTAGTTGCGGCACTGGCTGCATATTTGTGGGTATTTGGATATTAACTCCCTCGTGCCTTCCCCTGGATATTAGCAATACTGGACACACTGAATCAATAAATATTTTTTCCACATAATAATAGGTTGGAAAATAGGTTCTTTTATTTTATTTAAAATATATGATCATCATATCGGCATCTATAGACTATCATCATTTACGTTATGGGTTTATTAGTTATGACCGAATTAATTGGTTAATGATTGATAAACCAAAGTTATTAAGTATTATTAAATTATACGACAATTTTTACAAATTATAAGTAATGTTGATAAATAAATATTACTTCAATTTTAAAATTCCCATAGCCTCTATATCTTCCAAACCTATCCTGGAATTATTATTAAATACTCAAAAACTACTCATTTAAATTTTGATTTTGGTACATCAATATTTTCAAGGAAATTATCCCCTAAATAATTGACAGTAGAAAAAAAGAGCTCTCTTTTGGAAACAGAAGTTTATATCTCGTTTGAGCACTCTAAGTAATACAAAAAATCTCAAGATGTTGAGTAACTCCATTAGTCCATTATTGAAGCAAAATATATTTCTTAAAACTGTTGATAATATGTTACATTGAACTAATGTTTTATTTTTTTGTACAATTATACGTATTTAGAAAATAACTAAATATCAACAATTATATAATTTATACTATACAAAGTTTTAGTAAAATTCAACTGACATAGCTTGTATAAATATTTGTTCGACTATTTTTCAGGTAAAAGACAAATACTATGAACGACATATTAAATAATGCAGTTGATTGCTTTTTGGACAATTATGACGATGTTTTGAAAAATTTTCCTCTAGATGGGCAAAAACAAGTAAGTCGTTATTATGAAACTGATTGTCGTCACTCACATATTTTAAAAAAATTGGAAAATTTTACAAAAAAAGCTAAAGACTTTACATCTACTGATGGAGAACGTATGAAGAAAATGTTGATTGAGTCTTTAGACCTGGCCGACAGAAAAGTTAACATTACGGAATGTCTATTGGACATGGTTGGAACTAACATGCTTAATTTAAATATGAGTTATAAAGAAGTTGAAACTGCAAAACAACGTTTAACCAGTTCTAATAAAAGAATGTCAAAACTGATGCCTAAGGAAATTGATTCAGATTCTATTGATGTACAAAATATAAATAATTCTAATAAGCGCCCCAAAAGAAATGTTACAAAACTATCCACAACATTAAATAAAAGCGTAGAAATGAAAGCACATTTTGATAGAAAATCAAGCACTAATCAAAATAAAAAAAAAACCACATCAACCAAAAAGTCCAAGGCTCAGCCTGCCAAGAATAAAAAAATAGATTCAGGATCAGAAAGTTCTGATAGTGATGGGGATGATTTACAACCAACTTACTGTATTTGTGAAGAAATATCTTATGGGGATATGGTTGGCTGTGATAATGATTTATGTCCACTTGAGTGGTGTCATTTTGGCTGCGTGTCTATAAGTAGGAAACCCAAAGGAAAGTGGTATTGTCCATTTTGCAGAGGAACTACTTCAAAAACCATGAAGCCGAAATCAGTATTTCTTAAAGAACTTGAAGAGTACAATAAACGTAAGGAAGAAAACTGGAGCAAGTAATACAATCCATTTAAGCATTATATATTTAATTTGACGCTGAATTGTTTCAATGAAAAAGGAATTCATACATTTTGTGTCATACTATCTACATCTAAGCAAACTCTATTTTCATGAATGATAATTATGTTAATTAATAATAATACTAAATCTAGGATAGCATCTTTTTGTTTTGTTTTTCTGCGTAACTAAATGGAAAAACATAGGTGCTCATCCTATTATTCTTCAATATTTATTTATAATATTTTTAAATAGAAATATAATTTGTTTAAATATAAAATTGTCCCAAGTGCTATCAGATTGCAAAAGTTATTATAATTTAGTAGTAAGTATTATGTAGTCATACAAATGGCGATTATTTTTCCAATAATTTAAAATACAAACAATTTGTTTATAAGAAAATCTTTAAAATAACTTTATTTTATTCTAAAGCTTATATTTATTTTATTTATATTTGTTTTATATAATAGTTAATACATTTTCATTTGAAACTGTCAAATAATCTTAATAATATATTTAATAACCAGAACGTATTAAATATATTACTTTTGTAACTCAAAATTGTTTAATTGAAATATTATGCATAATATAATGAAAATTTAATTTGGTTTTAAAAGTTTTTATTCTATATTTAAAAAAACAAAATATGTTTTATGCTTAATCTACAAATTACCTGCAGAGTAATATCAGTTATACTATCACGGTTAAGTTATATTAAATAAAATAATTGTTACTTGCGTATCATACTAATTTATAACAATACATTTTCCTGTTGCCTAATATTATTTACTGAGCTATATACCATTCATATTTAGAAAAATTATCTTCACGCTCCAATAGTAATTTGTTTTTTAGAAGTTCAACATATGTCACCGTACACAACTGCGTGGGAAACACTTCAACATTGATGTATCTAGTTCTACCTAAAGTACCTTAATACTTAATAGAGACTAGGTGCTCGAGTACTACCTACTCCTAAATCACATTCTCAAACGGCAACTTATTATTAAAAAAATATGCTCATTACTCAATTTATGTTGTATATTTCATCTAGCCCAATCTTGGTTGTGGTGCTGAATTCAAACTAATAGTTTATAACTAAGTACTTTTTTTCTATTAAGCAACTGTTTAAAATAAGCACCGGTGGCTACCCACCAATTGTTAATGTGGATAGATACCACCAAACCCAATTCATAAAAGTACATAGATATTATAAACGAGTATCACTATGATCCCTATATATTTATAGCTTATAATCAAAATAAATTAAGTTAATTTCTTTTAATAATATATGAACTTATGGGGTTAAAGAACTCTGTTAAAATTAATTCATATTCTTTCTAAAAGGTGTAATAATTTGTAAGAAAATAAAGTGTTTTGATAATTTGTAGTTAATTGTTAATGCATATTAACTGCAATAAGATTGAGATTCAAAGACATAAATATAGTTGTTGTCGTGTACAGTTATATTTAAATATATTTAATTTTTTATAACAAACGCTAAACACTTAAACGTAATGAATATAAAGATAAAAAACCGCTGGTAGTAATACAGCTCATCATTTATTCATATTGTAAGACTTTAACTCTCTGTATTATTTAACAATGATGCCCACGGATCTTCCAACATTGATGGATGGAAGTAGCTTTCATCACTGTTATCATTAATCCACTTTCGACCACTCTAAAAACAAATTAGCAATACTAATGAACATCAATACATTATTTTCATAGAACTTAATTAAATAGATTTATTGTTACATCAATAGTGTACAATTACACTACTAAGTAAAATTATATTAACATTATAACTTACGTTAGCATTTTGATTTTTATATCTGTTAAATTGTGGTCTGTATGGGGAATGACTATTTTGTTCTCTTGGTGTATAACCATATGAATTGTTATGCTATTAATAAAAATTAAAAGTTAAAACAAAATTACAATCCATTGTACGTATTATTATTTATTTTAATAAAATTAGTTACATCTGAACTGCTGCTGTTGTTAAATCTGTTGGGAGTCCATTGGTACGGTGATCCTCTCCCTCTGGATCGTGGACTATTAAATCTCGGTGAACTACAACCTCGTCCTCGCCAATTCTGTTCGACAGGTGATTGTTGAGGAGTGTTGTCATACAACAAAATGTTATCCTTTAATGTTTTGTTAATTGGGTTCGACGGCGATTCTACATTTTGAAAAGGCGATGGGTTGTCTGAAGTTGCAGATGTATCCCTGGACCTTATTAGTGGCGATTTGTACTTAGAACTCATATTGGGTCACAGGTTCCTTATGCAGTAAAAAGTACCTATATTAAATAGTTAATTGTATAAATACAAATAAGTATAATATAATAATAAATAATCGCACAATAAATTCATAACAATTTAATTTCAGTTACACTTGCAAGTTATAACAAATTTAAATTGATCCACAAATAAATAGATATTATTATCACAGAATAACCACGAATAACTAATTTTATTATTCTGTGTTATTACCACTGTACGTTTTTATGGTTATAACAAATGATAATATCATTCTATTATCAATTTACTGTTCAGCAGGTAATCGGTATTTCAGTATATTATAGTTTTTAGTTTTTACAATTTACAATTTATATTCTTCAAACCGCTAAATAGTAATTACTTTTTTAGGGTACCTACTATACTACTTGTATATGTTTATAGCCGATTACTTTATGCAATACGCAGCTTAACCGAAAATTATTGAAATTAAAATGCTATCTTCACTTGTTAAAGAACATCAAGTAAAACAAGCAGCCCGCAAGGAAAGCCAAGGTAACTATATATTGTCATGACTACCCCTTACCTATGGTGGTGTGACCTATAATTTAAAAATCTTAGTTTATGATTCTGGGTTATATTTAATATTAAACTCGTTACACTTTATTCAAGATATTAAAAGAAAAGAGGCAGTGAATGCAGCCAATGAATTAACCAACGCACTGGTCGAACACCTTAATGTTGGGTAAGAAAGATATATTTATTAAATTTAAAAGATATATCAAATTACTGCGATACTGATCATAAACAAAAACTAATGATATATTTTTATGCGATTGATTTTATAATTATTGTCAATAGTGTTGCCCAAGCGTATCTCAATCAAAAAAAACTCGATGCTGAAGCAAAACAATTACACCAGAGTGCAATTGTCTTCTCCAAACAAACTTCTCAATGGCTGTCACTGATCGACAACTTTAATAGTGCTCTTAAGGAGTTGGGCGATGTTGAGAACTGGACACGTACCATTGAAAATGACATGCAAAACATCACCACTACCCTAGAGTATGCATATAAAGGTAATTTTCACATGACATATGAATTATTATAGATCAGTGTTAATTGTATAAATATTATTTTTCAGTTTCACAAAAACCTTAACTAATGATGATCACAAGAACATGCTTTCTCAATCTCAGTTTTATCCCATTGTTCATTTGTACTTATTTAAAATAACTATGGTCTGTCCAGTGAAAGAACGCGCCGCGCACCGACCAAAACTGGTTCCCCCACACAACATTCTGCCACAGGGGAACCGGTTTCGATAGTAAGGAGACGCGGGAAGATGCACAGAATCGGCGCGTTCTCTCGCTGGACAGAGTGTAGATACCTACATAATTTGTTATTATTCATTTTTATTATTTTTGTACATTATACATAAAACTATATTTTTATTTTATTGGTTACTCTACCTATGCATATTAAAATAATAACAGTTTGTATAAACTGCCATATAAATCAATGATGACACATAAATGCATAATGACATCATAAATGATTCAGTATATTATATTAAATTTAATTGAAGCAGTGAACAACCATTTGCTAAGTATTTTTACCACTGATGACCTCTTTAAAACATTTATAGACAGTTATAACTATTCATGACTAGTCATTTTTAATTATGGTTTTTTCCTATTCAATTTCATGTATGAAAATAATATTTACATACATTTAAAATATAAATAGGTAGTTTGAAAAGATTAGAAATTAATTATCCATTAAAATTATTTTATTTAGGAAAAATAAGTGGTAAATGAATCCCATAAAGAAAATAAGTTGCTATAACTATAAATATGATACTTGGTCCTCCAGTCTTTTAATATTACATGTTGAATACTGAAAACGCTGTGGCGTTATACTGATGGCCAGTGGCGTGCAGAACATTTTACAGGCCTGAGGCAAACTATATAATTTGACCACCAACCCTACCACCATCAGATTTTTCGTACTTAATTGATTCTGTAACAAATTGTATACATTTATATGAAATTTAAAATGTGCCCAGTTTGCACCCCTAGTAACCCACCCGTATTTTCCCTGAGACAAGTGCCTCAAAAAATAGCTGTTCAGCACCGCCACTGGCCATCAGTATAATTAAAAATTGTCTAATAATATTAAATGATCGTAATTTTAATGTTTATTTTTAAAAATTGCATTTGATAAAAGTAGTAATTGTTAGTATAAAATATTTTTAACTTGCTGTTAATAATGAAATTATAAGATTAAAACTCAAGATTGCATCCTATTGAAATCTAGTAAATACTAAATAGTAAGAATAGTAAGATCAAGTCAACCAAGTTTTAATTGAAAAGATTGTAACTACTACTTACTAAGTACGTTTAAAAAAGTAATTCAATTTTATTATGTTTTAAACATAATGAAAAAACATTCAATAATTGTAAAGCCTGAATTTGGAAATTTAGTATTTATGAATGTAATTAATCAACAACCTAAATAACTACACATAACTCTTGTTGAAGTGTTTAATCTTCAGTTTTGATTTATAAGACATAATAAAAAAAAAAGGTGGGCAAGTGGGTGTTACTCTGCTGTACAGTAGGTTACAAGTGGGTCATTGTAATGGATGGTGTTTTATACAAATTTTATACAAAAAACGATTCTGAGAGAAGATGGTCAGCCTATGATATATAACTAATAACTATAAGAATATAATAAAGTAATTTATTTACCTATTTATTTGGAACCTTGTTTTAAATTTCCAAGCCTTCATGATTATTTTCGAAGTTACAGAGAAATAACTGCTATATCCTGTGTTTAGTGGTTCTTTTAAAGTTTCTTTTAGTTTCTATGGTGATAGGGAAAAGCGTTGGAAAAAATAGCTTAGCAATAGGGTATTTAGGTGGTTTTCCCCGTTATGTTAAAAGACTATTGAGAAAATTGAAAAATGACCACTAAAGTACCATCTTGATCCAACTTGCTAAAAGATACGATACTATATGTTGAAATTGAAGCACTCCTTCTGGTAGAAATTTTGTTTACAGGATAAAAAAAATAAAACATCATTGTAAAACCAATAACTTCCTTGCTCCGCTCAGAATCTAAAATTGGAATTGGAACTAATGAAAAATAATAAGAAACAATAAAAGATAAAAATAGTAAATACACACACCCAACAAAACGTATTATAAATGCAAACTCAGATGCTAAACGCACAATATAACTTTTATCAGCACAATCCTGGCAAAACCTTTGGTCCGTACTAAACTTAATGAAATAAAGCTATCAACCAGTCATTGGCCGAATAATCACTCAAACCATAAAATAGAAACCAGTATCAATAGACTCCGAATAGGTCACACCAGACTCGCCCATGGGTACCTATGTCCCGAGAGGAATGGGGGATATGCCCGTGCTGTGGTGTCAATCTTTCAATCTAACACATCATGACCAGTGGCGTATTTAGAAATTTGTCATGGGGAGGGTCCAGATAATTTTCAGAACACAGAGCCACACCACCCATTTACTCTTTATTAAATAAAATATACCATATTTATAAGACGATATAAAATTGTCGAGTTTTTAATTATTAAATAATAATATGTACAAAACAAATTTAAAAAGAAGCGGGTAAGTGGATGTCACTCTGCTGCTGTACAGTAGCTTAGGTTACAAGTGGGTCAATGTATAATGGATTGTATTAAACTTGAACTCAATGATATAATATCATAAAATCATTGTATAAGAAAAACGATTCTGAGCGAAGACGGTTTGTCAGTCTGGATATTTTATATTGTTATTATTTATTATAGCCTGTAAGTTGAATTAATAATGAAATACTTTTATTTTTTATTTTTTTCTATGGTGATAGACAGTGTTAGAAATTAAGATCCTATTTTTAGCGGTTTTTCGTAATTTTTTGGTGGTTTTTACAGTGGCATTAAATAACTAGGTATTGAGAAAATCGAAAAATGACCTCTCTAAAGTACTATCTTGATCCAATTTTCTAAAAGATAAGTTACTATATGTCTATACATGTTGAAATCGAAGAACTATTTCTGGAAGAAATTTTGTATACAGGAAAAAAAATAAACACCATTGTAGAACCAATAGATCCCTCAGAATCGAATATATATTATATAGTTATATGTTATAACTTTTATACAAATATTTCCTTAATTACATTAGGTGCCTACTTCATTCATAGTTGATCTTTGATAGCTTTTCAACCTTAAAAAGGTTGAAAAAGATCTCTCTGGAGTGGTTGTAGATACTGGCAATGTACAAAACTACAAAATATTTGAATTAAAAATGAATTTGGTATTTTTCAACCATTTTCGGTACCCAACTGATAAAAATAATCACGATATTTATTGAAAATGTTGATATAACTATAGCTTCGAAAATTTTTTATAAAATCCGTAAAATCGTATGATAAAATTTGTTTTTTAATCATGTTAAAACTGCACAACATTTAACATGTACGAGACACGAGTCAATGGGAGGGGTCCGGACCCCATGGACCCCCCCTGTAAATACGCCACTGATCATGACCGAGTGTAACACATACCGTGATGCAAGGATCCGCAACCAATTATTGGAAGATATTTGAAAGCCTCGGACCAGCCAGACCAAACCTGCCAGTCTCCAACAAACTGGATTATACAAACTAATTTAATATAATGTACATTATTCTATACTTTTTGTTTTTCGTTTTCTCCTTTATTTTGCTGCAACATAATTGTATCGATGGTGACAATGCAAAAGGGCATAAGCGACATTTTTGAAATTATTCAGGAGAGCCAAAAAACTTTTTTTTTAACAATTATTACATTTTGTAGGTTATATTTTTAATTTAGAAAAATATGATAAGAATAAAAAAGATGAGTTGTACTCTATTTAAGACACTTGTTCTTTCATTTTTTTAGTCAAACACTTACACCAGTAAGAATTGAGTATTATTATATAATTTGGCGCTTATGCCCCATTATTTTCCTTACCTGTAATTTTAGTTCTAGTATTTTGGTGCTTATGCCCTATTAATTATAATAATGCTGTTGTCGCTTAGGCCCCATAAAGTAAAATCCTATGGCGCTTATGCCAACATTTAAAACTAAATGTCGCTTATTCCCTATTTATTCACATACCTGTTAATTAATTTACTCTTTTTGGCGCTTATGTCTAAATCTAAATTTTCGTTTTATATCGTACAAAATAATCGTATCGATAAATGAGTAAGAGCAATCGATAGAGAATGACGTCGCTTATGCCCTAATTACAAAAAGTAGATTTCGTAAAAAGTGTCGCTTATGCCCTTTTGCATTGTCACCATCGTTATAATTTTGTTAATACACTTCTCCCAATGGCCTTGATGCCGAGGGCTATTTTTATAATAAAAAAAAAAAAAAAAAAAAAAATGCAAACTGAAAAAAAGGTTTCAAAACAAATGTTTTTTGAATAATAATAATCAATACATTTTATTATGTGTATATTGTATATGTTACGGTGAATGATGTAAACGTGGTAAATGTCGTCATTCCCCGGTAAATGACGTAATTTACCTAAAAATTGGTAAATGTTGTAAATGTAGACATTCCCCGGTTATTGACTTCAATCCCCAGTTTAATTGGAGAATGATGTTCAATACATTTATGGGAAGAATTTTATCGAATTTTAAAAAATAGTGTTGACTTTTAATAAATAGTTTTGACTTGAATAAATTGTGTTGACTTTTAAAAAATAGTTTTAACTTAAAAAATAGTGTTGACTTGAAAAAAACGAAGGTTAAAAATTGTGATTTGAACTTGAGTGAAAGTTTTACTCACTCCTCTCTGGGAATTTTTCCTTGTTTAAATTGATCAATATAATATTTATAATTTTATATAACTGACATTATATGTCATTAACTAGATATCACAATACGTAAACATAATGGGACGCAATACGATCACTTAACTGACGGTAAGGAGTAATTACACAGAGCCGATACGGTGTCATCCCATTTGTGTCGGTGTGAACGATCAGTGATAAGTGGATAGGTATTAGGTGCTCGACAAAGCTTTGTTAGTTACAAAACTGTACAAATAAATAATTTATAATAATATTCACCTATTTTATTCATTTCAATTAACCTAACCTTTCATTAATTTCATTGAAATCAAAAATAATGAGATTCAAAAATGAATCACCCACCAACAATAAATCATTATTAAATAGTATCTATATTAAAACAATCAGTGTTTTATTTGAGATTTATCATCATTTACTACAAGTTTTGGTAAATGATGTCAATGACCGGTGAAACATATATATTTGAGTTTAAAATATGTGTTTTTACAACATTTACCTACATAACTGAATCATTTTGGTTAATGACGTCATTGACCGGAGAATGACGACATTCACCAATTTCCGTCTTTCACCGTAACATATACATCAAATAGAACTCTTGACAACAACAGTAACTTATCTTGGTGTATGATATTGTTTAACACTTTAACCATAAGTAGTTAAAATTACATTTTTTTAAATAGTTTACAAACAATTACGTACTATGTAATTAAAAGTAATTAAACATAGTATATAAAAGACTTAAACATGCAATCATTTTAATAAATATATACTGTAAAACTATAAAACGCAATAAAATTAATTACAAATTATCATTTAAAAATATATAAACTATGTTATGCATGAATAAAAATGATTGTATGGTTGTTGACGTAGTAGGGATAGCCATAGAAAGGAATAGTAATAAAATAGTAAAACAAATTGATAGTCTATGTGATGATACAAAGACCAAACAAATTTCATTGGAAATTTATGTTGGTTGTTTTTGATTATATTTATGTTTTAAATTTTATTCAACAATATAATTTTCATTAAACCCTTTCCCTAATGATTATATACAATGCAAGTGTACACACAATTATTTATCTAAATTTATGACTAGGAGAGATTAAGTAAAATAAAAATATATGCAATAAATAATAATGTAATATAATTTATCAATAAAATAAAATATATATATTACCCCCCTTCTTAGCAAACGTAATGCTAAATCATAACAAACAAAAGAAATTGACTGAATTTTGTCCAATATGGTATATAACTTAACGCCAAATAGGCAAATTAATTTTGAAGAATTAAAAATGTTCTAATTGATAGAGCAGTAAAAACCACATAAAATAAACTAATAAACTTGGTTAATTTACATAAAAAAAAAACCATGGTTTTAACTTTTAAGTATAAAAATAAAAGCACAACATTTAGTACAATAACAAGTGCAAAGTATTATCACAAATTTTTGGGAAATTGTTTCTTTTCAAAATGTTATAATTTAAACTTAAAATGTATATCTAAAAATATAATATCAATAACAATAGTATTGTATAAAGTTATTGTTGGAATAATTCATGTAAAAACAAAAATATTAGACAAAAAAAATAATACTTTTCTCTTTTTTTTCACCATTAATGATACTTTCAAATTATCTTTATCACAATAATGCCTTTGGTTTAAAAGAAATAATATTGTACTTGTACAAGCAAAAATATAGTTTTGTCAAGAGGAAAAAATTACTTAACATACAAACCTATGTAGAAAGTAGAATATTTGGAATATAAGTCCAAAATTTCTTTCATACTTGAGCAAAACAAATTACACTGTTCAATAGCCTGGTGGCTTAGGAGCTTGGTGTTTTGCAACTGAAATCAGACATTAATATCAGGTACAAATTTGAGTTTTCAATTAATTTACTCTTCAGTTAATCCTTACCGACTAGTCTGCTATTATAAATTTTATCAACTCTTTGGAAAATTGGAGGCGATGGAATCCTAACCATTGGCTTGAACATGGTAGAAAATTTCATTTCCATTTCCTCTACAAAATTATATTTTCACATTTAAAATAATTCATATTTATTAATCATTAGAGTCATATTACCCAAAAGAGACATGCTTAAAACAGAAGTCGGTCCATTTCGCATAGAAGAATGACGTGTTGGAGGTGTTGGGGGAGCTCCATTAATTACCTAAACAAATATAAATAATTTATAACGATCAGTGGCGTATTTAGGTTTTTGTATTGGAGTAGAGGGGGAATGGATTGATCCCCTTGATCCCTACCCCCCATAAATACACAACTGATAACTATAGATTATTATTGTTTAAATAAATGTAAGTAAGTCAAGACTTACATTGTTATTTTGGTAGCTTTTATGAGGGGGTACATTTGGTGGTGGTGGAGGAGGCCCACTCCGATGTGGTGGTGGTGGTGGCGGAGGAGCACACACAGGTGGATTCAAAGGCGCCTTGATGGGTGGAGGTGGTGGCCTAGTATTTGGATGTTTAATGGGTCGTAACGTCCGTGATCCCCACTGGCCATTTGGTGGAGGGTTTGGAGAACTCCTCAAAATACTGTCTTGTGATTGATGGAAAGAAGGTAATTGATTTTTACTACTGATGGTCATGTTATTGAATTGAGGTGCTGCATAAAATAATATTATAAACATCAAATTTTATTTATCAAAGATATTATATTATTATATTAACACATACGTTGACTATTTGGAGCAACTGGAGGTGTTTTTGGTATCCTCATACTTTGTGCTCTAGAAACAAGATTTCGCCCATCAGCTGCAGCTACTAAATTTGTTGAACTAACTGTCAAAGTTGACTTCTTTGTAGGCACGGCTGGCCTGATGGATGGAGGTTTTGGGGCTACATTTGGTTTTCCGTATCCACCTGGAGGAGGACCTCTGCCTGCCACATTATCAGACACAAGACTAGGGACACTGCCTGTCAGGTTGTGACCAACACCGGGAGGTATAATTGAAACAGGTTCAGAAGTACTCTGGAAATAAGAAGAAAAAAATTAACCAAAATGTAATTTTGTATGAATAAAATGAAAAAGAAATGTATAAATAATTGTTTGAATAAAATTACCGAAGGAATAGTTGGTTTTTGATTGAGTGGTGGTGGTTGTGGAGGTGGTCCTCTTGATTTTATATCATTTTGAATTTTTCTTATGCCATCATTTTTCTAAAAACACCAAAATAAAATAATCAATTTTTATATTTACACATTCTGTAACCCTACAACTTACTTTCTGTAATGGAAGAGTACTTGTGTTAGAAGGAGAAGAGTTTGCAGTTGTTTGATTAAACAATGAGACCGGTGATAAATTATTAGTTTGTGGTGTTTGAGTTCTCGATTGTCCTAGAATGAGTGAGTTATTATTTATTATAAAAATGTGAACTGGTCATAAGTTTTCAGAATGATCTAATCATATTATATTTTATTATAATATTATTAACTATAAAAATAATAAAATAGTTATAAACAAAATATACCTCTAATACAGTTTTATAATTTATTATTGAATATTGCATGAATAGTAAGTACCTAACAAGTAAATTGTAATCCAATACAATTAAAAACAAATATAATGAGATAAATAAGAAAGAAAATGTATTAGTTAGGTATATCAAATATTATAGAATAAATATTCTTTTTTACATATATAATGGCTTATTGGAAAATAAAATAAAAACAAAATTACTAATAAATAATAATTTATTCTGTTAAATACTAATAATACATTTTGATAAAAATTGTTCTACAGAATAAAACAATTATCTTTAATCTTTTCCATCTAATACAAAATATTTCAATAAATTCATGATACGAAATATATTTGTACATAGTTATGTACAAAGTGAAATCAATCAACGCATTACAAACTATTCACTCTTTGTACATCTATATGACAATTGCATCCAAATGGAGAAATAAAGAAAAATGTGAAGAAATACCTACTGCATAAATAACTGACATACAAGATGGCAGATGCTAACATTTCCTTTTTTAGGTCCAGGTAAAAAAATTAGGTCATCTGATCAAGGTTACAATAAAAACTTTTTTAAACATCAATCAAACCAATACCTACACAAATAGTCCAATGTTGGTAAATACATAATATATTTATTATATTTATCATCTACTTCATAAACGTTTTAACCTCAATTTTAAGAAACAACAGTTTAAAATATGATAAGTAGTTACACAACTATGTTGTACAACCATCTAGAATGCACAAATATAAATTCTAGATTAAATACAGTTAATTACAAAAGAAACGCATGTGAAGCAAATATGACAGTACTGGCAGCAACTTACATAATATTTCAACAAATTAATCGCAATGAAATTAAAAATTCCAAACAATTTTATATAACTACAAACAATAAGAATTCAATAAAAAAAAGTGAATGAAAATGCAAAAAATTACAAATATATAGTTCAAAGATTGTCTTAGTTAGCATATTCAAATTGTATAGATTAGTTTGTGTGAATTGTTACTTTTTCTAATAATTTCCTAATCTAAAAAAACATAAATATGTATATAATCACACTGTCATTCTTTTATTGTGAAATCTTTGGAAATACAAGTTATTTTTTTAGATTCTGAGTGAAACGATGAATGTATTGATTTTACAATGAT